AATAATAAAAACATCTACAATCAACAATTACTTCAAATTAAATGAACAAAAATAAGCATGCAAAATAAAAACTAATTTAAATAAAATAAACTATAAAAAAACATGCAAAATAAAAAACTAATTTGAATAAAGTGAACTTGATGAATTCTACTACATAGAGCATGCGAGATAGAGAACTATTTTAACTACGGGATCATCTTTGTCTTCTCCAACGTCGATCTGAAACAGATACGGTGGTAATAGATTAATAAGGAGCAATTAAAATTAATTATATCAAGTATTCTCACCTTAATTAACTGTAGACTGTAATGTTCCAGTTTGCAGGTGTGAAAAGCAAATCAAATCCAAGACGAACGCCAATGCAGAAAATTTCTTATTTCAGTGGAATTCACATAAATCTTCAGTTGCTCTCACTCATCACTTGAAAATTAACTGCATAATGTTGCAAGGTGAAGACGAAAACAGCAAATCAAGAATATAATCCACGAAAGACAACGCCCATGTAGACATTGGCTGTTTCAGTATGATCAAACTGAACATTAATTCTCTCTCATTTGTTGGATAACCTGCAGAAATGGACAAAAAGATATATTAATTACACTATCAATTAAGAAACACATTTAACACAACTAAGAACGCACCAAAAAGCAAGTAAAACAGCTGAATTATAAAATGACAAGGGTTACTATGACGCCATTTTACATCACAACCAAAGATCTACGACATAGATAAATGTCAAATAACACTACGTCAATTTATTATGCAGACAATAGAAACAGGTTAACAAGAAATTCCATAGATTAATGATAAATTTCAATTTACTCTGTGGAAAAATAGAAATTATCAAAATATACATGCACAATAACCTCAATTTATACAATAGATAATGGTTAACAGAAACGCCATTACATATTAATAAAAAGCAATTAATATTAATGAAGTAATGTATTCTCACCTTAATTAATTGTAGAAAGTGGCGTTCTAGTCTTCCAGTGTGCTGAGCAAACCATATCTGGGAGGGATACCACTGCAGACAATTTGTTGTTTCAGTGGAATTCAAATAACCAGTTGCTCTCACTCATGGGTTGAAAATTAACTGCATGATGTTGCAAAAAGGGAAGACGAAACAGCAAATCAATTATTTAGTCAAGGAAAGACAGCACCATTGTAGATAGTTTATTTCTGCACGATCTACCTTAACTTTAATTCTCTCTCAATTGTTGGGTAATCTGCAGAAATGGACAAAAAACTATGTTAATTCCACTATTAACTAAGGAAGGGATTAAACACACCTTAAAGAAAGTGAAAATATTAGCATGTCGCATATTAGAATGAGAATCAAGTATTGCATGTACTTAACAATTAACGTTTAAAAAAGCTTACCTAGAAGAATACTGTTCGATGCTTCAGTTTTACTCCTAAGCGTTCACAATAGAGAAGTGCCTCCAACAGTAGACACTTATAAGAAAAAAACACTGACGAGGAAATGAAGCCTATGAATGAATCATATAGTATTTTCTGAAAAACTGCAATACCTGAAATTAGTATCATTTGTATTTTTTTAACATTGACAATTCAATTCAGTAGGCTAAAATATTACAATAATTATTGCCAAAACAAATAAAACAATTGATTTAGAAAATTGAAAATAATTTAGTAAACATAACTATAGAATAATTACGGATGTCTTACCTATTCCAGAAACAGCCCTAAGTCCAAAGGAGGGAGCTCTAATGGTGCTGCACTTCTTCAGGTTTCGAATCCTTATTTGTCATATCAACGCTCATTTAATATGTTTAAATGACAACCTGTTGAAACAACGTAATATTAGTTATATCTCTATTATTATCTTTTATTTATTTATTAATACATATTAAGAACGTTAACATCCATCATTCAAATAATAGACTACCAAACTCAATAACTAACTTTTACAATTCAGAAGAGCAAAAACTTGTAGTAGGAATTATTGCCAAACAAATGAAATATAAGATTTGGAATCATCCTGTGTCCAATGAATAAAAATAAGTCTGACTGCTGCAAACATTAGATCGTAAGTAGTTTGGCCATCTAATACAAGGTGTTAGGTACCTCACAGCAACTCTATATTTAGAAAAAAAAAACAAGTTACAATCCAAAATGTTCACAACGAGGACAAAATGGAAAACTTTCTAACAGAAATTTAGAATTTTAATGGCAGAAATATTTTGGTTATGAAACGAAGACAATTCTTCGAGGCGTGATCACAAAAATATGACAAATCTACAACCATCGGCTAAACCTATTTTCATAATTCAAAAACTAACAAATTCTTAATTATTCGACCTCAAATAAACCAAGAATCTATAAAAGTTTTACGGTAAATTAGTCAGGCAAGATGCTAGGATGGACTCCCATGTTGAAGCATGAAACCAACATAATTCAGAAGTCATTTACGCTAAAAAAATCTCAGCAACGATAATTGAAACTCATCACTCACTAAACAGAAATGTATTCCACACAATCAAACTAAAATGGAATAAGGATTACGAATAAATACCTTCAGGTGTAGTTTATATTTCTGGACAGCAAAAATGGCGAATTCTCTCCGCCAACGCTCTGCAATGCGCAATGCTCCAAGACAAGATGACAAGATCAAACATCAGAGTTGCGCAGAAAAGCCGGAAGATCCATAGATGAAAATCCTTTCTATACCTATGATCATAGATAATAGAATTTATAGGTGTGTTCAATTATACTAACTGCGTTTAACTTCTAAATTAATAGTAACTGGCATAAGGCTTGTTTAATTTCTTGAACATTTTCGAATTAAATTATGCAGCTTTGTGACGTTTTTATTCATGACAGATAAATGTTAAAAGGCAATTAAAACATAAACATTACTAAATGGAAACGTATTCCACACAATCAATTTAAAATCAAATAAGGATTACGGATAAATACCTTCAGGCGCCGTTTCTGTTACTGGGCAGCAAAAATGGTAGCAGTCTTCTCCAAGACCTAAGAAGGAATAATAAATTAGCGAAGACCATTCGAAGACATTTGACATAGATCATAGATAGTTACTGAATTTATTGAGTACATATACCATAGACAAAAATCTTTATGTACAAATAATGGTAGTGTCTCCTGGATGACTCGAACGTGTTTTCAAATTTCAGGCAAAAATTGTTTTTCACAATTTCTGACTTTAATAGCTTATTTATATTTGCACTATATAATTAAACTAGCAAAACCCATCTTTACATTATTTACAAACTGAATCATTTATCAATAACCTCAAAATAGCATTTTTTGCTATTAAAATGAAACACAGAAAATTAAATGTTTTTAAGGAATTCTTAATATATAAAATAATCAAATTGCTGTTAATGTTTTATATATTACGGAATCGCCTATTTCTGATTTATCGGATTTTTAACTATAGGGAAATGGATACGTTTATTCAAACGAAAGCACAGGGAATATTTCACAAACTATAATAGATTGTGCCTGAAAGTTGGGGAATTCTACTGGAATTAAGGGAGAAACACTATCATTTAACTTGAGTTATTGACTTTTAATATTTAAGACAATAACGAAGTTGAATTGAATGCCAGCAATTCACTATTTTTTCAAGTACAATTTTCCAACATTTAAATACAAAATTACTATAACCGGGTAGAAACGATAGCATCGGTAAGTTCGAATAAAGATTATGACATTAGTCCCAAATTGATCTAGTACTTAAAACATATAATAGGCAAGTCTAACTAAATCCTTAGTGTGGAAACGAGTTTTATATTTTAAAGCTATTTTATGCAGTTTTAGTTTTAAGTAATTAATTATAATACATTCCTTATTGAGGTCATTAACGTTAATTTAAAGGCCCTCTAACAATGTTGTTAAAAGTTTAATTTTTACATACGTAACTAAGAGAAAATTAATTTTCTTTCTTAAGTATATATTACTGTCAAAAACATGATTTACACTTTATCACTCTGTACAAAACCAATATAAACCTAAGCTAAGCAGACAAACCTTTATCTAATTATACATATAAAATACATTTCGTACGATAATGAACAAAAAAAAAGAAATCTGTGTTTCAAAACCTGAATTTAACATTTAGACCAATTTTTACATTAAAATACAAAATCAAAACATTTTACATTATCGCTTTTGTAAATAAGTAAGTAATAATAATAGTTACTGATAATTAATTATTTTTAGTGTCTACGCGGCGCTTCGTAGAATAATACTAAGGTTTCCCATTAAAATACTTAAATATAACTATATTATTACATTACCCAACTATACAAATGGGGATAAATCATTTAATGTTACTACATACCAAAAAAATTACACGATGATACTACGATAATAAACGAAAGAAAAAGAATTTTCGGCGCGATTTGAAAAAAAAAATTAAAACAAATTCAAAACAAGTCCTGGGAATAATAATCAACAGAAAAAATACAGGATAAAAACATAACTACGACCGTCATAATATTATAAATGAACGACAAACTGCGAGATAAATATCCCAAAACCTGAGCAAATAACAAAATAAAAATAGTATTAAGATAGGTCTCCAAAATTATTGCTAAAAAAAAAATACACACATCAACAATGAATCTATTCATAAATATTTATATCACAAGATAAAACGAACACTAACCGCTTAGTTTTAGTAGTTGTAGAATAGAAATATTGATATAAGTGACGTAGGTGGACAACACTACGCTAGTATAATTACATTGTTTAAAAGAATCAACTTTTAAGTGCTACTTATTATCCACATTTTAATTGTTGAAAAAATATTTTTTGGCTGCGAATTATTGACATTAAAAATAAAAAACAAAATTTAAAACATTTTTTCGCACAAAAATTTTTACCATCTGGTAAAAATTACCTATTCGAAGCTGTGCCCGACGAATGGAGTTGGTGGGATGAAATGTATCTATTTGAGTAAACGTAATGAGCGAGCAACTGGTTGGTTAAATATTTATATATATATATATGTGTGTATGTATAGCATGTATATGTGTATTTGTATGTATGAGTGAACTGAATGACTGGTTAGTTCATATGACCATCATTATTATAAACGTTTTTTTTTTCGTCAGCTTCTTCGAATCATATCGAACTGACAATCGGTTAGATAATGTCCTTCTTTGAATGCACGCAGTAAGAAAATATGCATTTTTGTGTTAAATGCTTAATTTTTAAATTTTCTTTTTCTTTACGCCGTCGTTTCCAACGTCTGGTCTTCAGTCGCTATTGTTGTCGATGAATCGGCAATGCTGTTACTCATACTATTACAGTCTTCGCTAGGTATCCACTCTGCGAAACCTCTATTAACTAATTCGCCGTTCAAAAATACGACGCTCTGAAAGAAAAAATAAAAAAATATTAGTAACTAAAGGACTATGGTGGATAAGAGCAAGAAAATGATAGCTGTATCGAGTGTATATATTTGTGTCACCCTAAATACAGTCTGTTTTTGTTTCTACTTTGGCATAAAAGTTGTTTTTATCAGTACTTAATTTTGTTTTTCATCGGTCTACCTACGGAATCGTAGGAATGAGTGGATACTAGTTGAGATGAGAATGATCAATCGGAAGAAATGAGGAAGGGAGTGAAAGATTATCTGTGGAACAATGCCCGAATAAATCATATAAAAAGGGCAGACGAATTCGGAATCGAACTAATGTCGTTAATCAATAGTTCTAAAACTTCTAAGCTACGCAAAATTTAAGAAAAAAGAGGTATTATTAACATCGTTACTTCCGTATAAATCTGCGAAACGGCTGACCGATTCTCAACCTGGTTTTGTGACGTCACACAAAGCAAGTTGTAGCCCTTTAAATTCACGATCGCCTTGAAGAATTTTACAATAACAATAAAAACTATAAAAGTAAATAGTAAAATGTGTTACTGATTATTAGAACATTACAAATAGAAACTGAACTAGTTGTACAGTTAGCATTTTCTTAATTTTACCATTGGAGATTTGTTTTATTCAGTGGCGGGGCAACAACTAAATTTGATGTGGGCAAGACAGATTTCGCGAGGCCCTGTTCTATGGCGACCTGAAGACGGATTTTATAAAATAATAAAAACAAACAAAACAATTAACACTGCCAAGTTTTTATTCATAAAAATACAAATTAGATTAATAAGTATTAAATGAAAAATTACAAATCGTTAATATAAAGGTGGAGATATACATTTCTTAAAGTGTATCTTAAAAAACATTAGATTTCTTTATTAAAGGAACAGAAATTTCCTGCTTTTAACGTTACTAAATTCCTTAATTATGGTATCGTAATTCAGCCTAGATGCCAAATCTGATTCAATTGATAAAACAGCCAAAGCTGAAAGTCTTTCTTGGCTCATTGTGTTTCTCAAATAATTTTTTATTAATTTTAATTTTGAAAAACTTCTTTCAGCAGAGGCTGTACTTACCGGAATTGTTAATAAAATTCGGATGACAATGTAAATATTTGGGTAAATTTCTTTCAAGCTATTTTCTGTTATGTATGACAGCAGCTGTTTCACGTCTTTAATGAAGTTGGGTAAATTCGGGATCATTGTATTTAATTCTTCATATAATTCAAATGGTTGGAAGTCACTGCTCTCACCCACACGCAGGACGTTATGTAAATCGTTACAGTGTTTTAATATTTGCTCCTGTGGCATATTTTTTAGCGCGCTTAAATCATAGAGAAAACCAAAGTCTTCAAAATGTTGATTTAAAGACGTAAATCTTAATTCCATATTGGTTATTATAGAATCAATCATGGCGTAAAAAAAATCTGTTTGATACCGGATTTTGGGAGACTGTATAGGTTCATCGCTGCTTTCATAATCGAACATCCTTTTCTTTTTGGCTACTCTTTTATTCTTAAACTCTTTTGGCAGGTCATAACAGCTTTTCTCAGTAAATTTCCGAACATCAGACGTACAGTCATAAAAATAAACAATATTGAATAACACAATTATACGTTTCTATTGTTATGCGCCTAGCGACTGCGTTGCGTACTTTGATTTGATTGGTTGACTTCCTAGTAAAGAAAGTAAACAAATAAACCGGGGATTCCCCGCACTCTGGTCGGCGGCAAATGTTGCCAGACTAAGAAAACATGTTTCACAACAAAATTGATTTATATTTTTTTTGTTTTATTCTCGCTTTAAACATTTTTGAGTCGCGAGGCCCCTTGTACCGCGAGGCCGTAGGCGGTGGCCCACGTCGCCCACGCTTAACGCCGCCTCTGGTTTTATTAGACTGATTCGAAACAATTCTGCAATATTACCCAATTACCTTCTACAAAATGTTCACTGAATATTAAATAAAAATGATAACAATAATGGGAGAGTCAAAATGTCTCACCTGAGGGCCAAGTACGATGTAAATATGAACTAATGGTATCCTTTCGTCGGCAAATCCCACCACTTGCGTATAGAGAATGGATCCTTTCGTAAGATCAGCCACCAATGTATAAGCTTCATCTAACCAAAGTGCATCATCACCTAAAAAAATTACGATATACTTAAGCATTATCTTGTTAAAGCCGACATTGAACTTTTTGAGTAGATAATATTTTTAATGAAGTATGTACCACAATTACAATCGTGCTTTTATGACATTCTTCTGTTTTGAACCGACCGTCTTAAAAAAAAATGAAAAATATTGGATTCTAAAAAGTAGAAATTATAGAAATCAAGCTAAAATAAGTGTTGATTGTTTGTATCTTCACGTGTCTTTTATAAAATTTGAAAAATACTAAACGATTTTAAAAGTATGGTTAATGCATATTGATTTCTATTGTAAAATTTGAAAAATTCTATAAAGGTATAGCAATCACTTTCGACATTCTCATAAAAAATTAGAAGTATTTTATGAATTTAAATAAAAAAATGATACTGTAATTTACTTTTACAAGTAATTTTCTTTCATTATTTATTCCCTGTTTTAATAACGAAAACATGGCACTGGCAATTTATCACTAAAATATTAGAATTCATAATGCCATAGACGAAGTGTCCTCAATTGACAGTATATTAAATGCACAATCATTAATTATTTTTATTGATACATAAAACGTGCGACTCTTTATCGGGATTTCTTTTAACCACTAATTTTGAAAACAACAGATGATATAAGCATTGTATTTAGTTTCTAAGGATGCCTACGCTTTTCATAAAACGCAGCCTCAAGAGAATTCATTTATTTTCCATTACTTCGCAACTTAATGTAGTGGGGAGTTATATTCCATAAAATTCTGATAGATTTCATTCTACTTACTATAAAAAACTTTATACTGATAAAAATTGGGTAATTTGTACGATTAGCAATAAGGGTTAAATTACATTTTAAAAATAAATTAACAGAATACAATTATATTAATAATAATAAGGGAAAACTTTACCTCCAATAGGCTTTACGTTTGCCAAAACGCATTCAGACGCTTGAAAAGGAAGTGACAAGAAATCGGCTCTGATCTGCCTGAGTTCACTGTTTGGTATATTTACATAGCCACCGTAGTCTAAAAATTTCACATAAGACACTTCGTTTTCCAGATCGGTCGATAAAACTAACGCACGATACCACGCACCCAAGGATTGTGCAATACAAACGGTGTTTTCTGGAAAATAAAAAAGTACATTTTCGTATTTATTTTAAAGAAATTTAATTCTGATATTGATTTCTTTCTGAATTTCTTTTGTATTGCTTTAATTCTACATTCTACATACCTGGTATGGGGTTTGGCAGAAGGGGTGAGCTGGCATCCGCATAACATGCGTTTAGACAATTACTGAGCATCAATAGGTTGGGGAAGGTGGGATGTGTGGGCTGTTGCAGGAATAAGTGGTTAGGTGCTACCATGCAACTCACTATGGTGTCGTTGTTAATTCCTTCTATCAGTTTTAACTGCAACAAACAATATTTCGTTATGTAACAAATACGTTTTTATTGTATAAACATGTGTAGTAATGAAATAAATGTTCACGATAATGTTAGATATTAAACCTTACAATTTGTAGGGTTTATACGTATAGAAAACAACTTACGCATAAATGTTCAGGTATTAGAGGAACTGTTGAGACGGGCGGTAAAAATGAAACCTGTTCTAGAGTCAGTTCGGGGTACCGTTTTTCAGGAAATTTATCCCTTATCATTTCTAGTGCCGTGTCAATTTCCAATTGTGTACCTGTAACAATAAAACGTGAGTAAGATTAATAGTTCATAACAATTTAATTGAACAAAAAGTACAAAAAATAAGTGTTGCTACCTTATAAAAAAAGTACAACGTTTTCTGCAGCGCGTTCTGAGTAAAATAATGTTGCCGATAAAATATGATAATACAATATTGCGGTAGAAGTAAAAATTAATGTTCTGAACATTTGTTTCACAGCATTCAAATTGAAATTGAAAGCAGTGTCGTAGGCGTCCAGTGTACTTTCACAGTCTCCAATAACTGGCTGGTTTTACCTCCAGCCAGCCAGTACGACTGTACAAAAACTTTCAAGCCAATACGACTTATCAACGACAAACTTTTAAGTTTTTCTTTCGTTGCAGCATCTTTTATTGTAGCAAACATGCCCTATAAAAACTAAGATCAGTAAGATAAATAAAAGAAAAGGGAATATGTTATTAACAAATGTCTGTTTTGTGACTTTGATAATTTAATGTGACAATATGACTAATGAAAACCAACTTTTTGTCTTTTTGTCAAAAACAAGTGTGTTGAAAGTTGATGAACTATTTCGAGAAATCAAGAGAAAGTGGAAATTCCTCAACTTATTTCCAGGTATAGTTTTCGTAATAGTACATTTTCGTTGTTCCTGTTTTTTCATGATTTGATTCATAAAGTTAGTGACCTTTAGACCCATACGATAGGTCGTATCTTATACAATCCAGCCTGGATTCACATTTAACAAAAGTATAAAAAATTACCTATTTTATAAAACCAAAGTGAAAATAAAATACAAAATAAAGAGACAAAATGAAGAGAGATATCGATCAATTACTTACTTGATATTTTATCACATGCAATACATTTTTAATTTATTATCAGATACTTAGTCTTTATTCGCAATACGTTCTCGTTCTCATCATTTTTTGACCGACATTGAGAAATTAACGAACCTAACTTGGTTTTATTGTTATTGATACGAGGCGTTTGTGGTAAACGTACAATAAATTAAGGTATAAGCTAAATATTTAGTTATCTAATAACAAAAATAAAAGTATACCGCTCTTTAAAAAGCAATAAAGACGAGCAATAAACTGTACTGATAAGTCTTTAGACAGATTCCATTAAAAAAGTTAAGGAAGCTATTAATAAAGTAGGTATTAATTCAATTATTAGCTTGCAAATGTATTATCTATTGAACTTTGTAGTACAAAAATTAAATAATTCCAGAGCTTTATGAATGTAATAAAAAACTGCTACAGCTAGACCGACCTTATCGCACGGGTGCAAAGGTCACTAACATTACATAGACGGTAGTTTTACCTAAGGCGGTTTCATCCTTTAATATAATAATTTAAATGGAACACCCAGTATATATTTACATTTTTGAAAAAAAACACGATTTCAGTTGTTTGAATGAGACCAAATAGCATGTAAACTATAAAAGCTACAAACCTGCGGTTAGCACAGTTTATTTTGGAACAAATTACCGTATCTTTTTTGGTATTGGCAAAATGTGTACGTTATTCAGAGCTGGAAATATAGAAACCTACTTTTGACAATATCATTCAATATGAGGTCATTATCAACTCAAAAAACACATCAACTATAAAAATGTATTACTGTTATTATAAAAAATGTACCAACCTGAATATTGGTTTCTTTATTGAAAGAGATTATCAAATTTAATAACGTGGTTTTTGCTTGGAGATGCAAAAATCCAGAAAACTGGTTTTCATTATTCATATTGAACAAATGTCACTGTAAAACAATTAGTCTCAAAACGGATATCTGTTAAGTGCAGGTGGAGGTGAAGACTAGAAATGGTAATTGTGGTGATGACCTGATGACTGGAGCGTCGATCGGGGTACGGAGACTGCTGGAGGGGCAAAAAAATATTGCAGAACGCATACGAAGTGGGATTTGGCATTGGAAGCGCAGCAGGTAGATGCGAAAAATAATATCAACCAACCAATATAACCTAACCTAACCCGACCGTAATCCAATTTCATCTAACACAGCAATGAAATTTTTGGAATAATATAATAAAAAGGGCGTACCATCTTTCGCTATAAGTTTTTTAAGGTATCTTGAAAAAAAGTTGTATAATTTTTTTAACCCAGTTTGACCTTGGATTCATGCAATAATATACGTATATTGAAAACGGAAAGACATGAAAATTTGAAGAAAAAATTAGGTACTGATTTCTGATTGTTTAAAGTATATAATGAAATATTTACATGAATGGAACTTGTCTTATGTAAAATAAAAAAAAAATTGGATTTGGAACTCTTTTGAAGAATTGCAATTAATGTTTGCATTCGTGTTAACAGTAACATTACTTTACTAAAGTACACTATTTTAAATACAATAAATCGTAAAAAATATATGTAATTCGTTTCTGCAATAAAAAAATTTAATAACCCGAGAAATTTAACAAAATAAGGTTTGTTGAATAAAATACAAATCAACAAAAAAAGGCATGTGCTGTGTATCAGACCTTTCATAATAGCATACACTGATAGACCTATATAAACAGCTATGCAACTGTTAATTTGTTCACTTAATATTGTGTCATCCTGACCCTTTTTTATGCAAAGGTCACCGAACCTGCTTATTTAATAATACGCCACGTTTGTCACAGAAGCAAATAAACAGAAAATAAGGAACTTCTTTAAATAACATGTGGTTTCTAAACGATGACTCACCTTCTATTTGGCACACTTTCAACTTGGGATTATCCGGGTGCTTCTTGATCACAATATGAGCCCGGGTCTTTTCCTTGATCTGCGTGACAAAAGTGCCTTGGCGTCCAATCAGTCTACCAACGAGGTTTTGAGGTATTAGGAACTCGTATATCGAGTGCAAGGGGACATCCCCGGACACTGATCCATCGCATGCAGGTGTCCTGGAGGGGGGAGGCGTTACTACATCACTGCCACCTTTTCCACTATCACTAGAACCCTGAAATAAACGGAAATGGTAACCATTATAGTTTGAAATGTACAGTATTTGAAACTTCTAATATTTATAACCTTATAAATTTTTGTATTTTACGTTTAATTGCTTTTCTGTTTGCAGGTGTTTATTTTCCCCAAAATAATATAACATTACAATTTTTTGAATTTCAAATTATCTAAATATTTATACCGTAAATTAGACGTACCCTTTTTAGTGGGTCATCCTATCACACTAGTGGAGGATCACGGCAATGGTCTACATTTTTTATCTTTACTTTCAAGGCACATGTCGCAACAAATATCGAACAGTAAGTAATGCAAATTCTACACGGACTTAAATACCTTCGACTGGCAAATGCATCTCAAGTGTACGAATCTTAATTACATAACAAACGAACGTTACATGTCGTCCGACACATTTGTGGTGCAACATTTGTATCTTAGATGTGCGACCTGACTAACTAACTACCCAGGTAAAGCAAAACGTTTACCGAACGTAAAATTTTACATTTCTCTGTCGGCATTTCTTCTTTTCATGTCACACGATGAAAATGAATGATTTAGCGAAGGTGTGATATATTTTTTTTTAATCGCGTTTATTTAAAAATATTTGCTGCTTCTCTGAAAATAAAAATTTTACTGCCTAGGGCCAGGCCTCATTGGCCTAAGCATAAATAAATCACTCTGTATATTACATATAAGTTAGCAATAACTAATTACTAAACAGCAAAGTCAATCGTATCAAATAACAATTCAGAAACTGTTTTTAATAAGTTTGTGTGAGCAATTAAGTATTATTGTACTTCCTTTTGATTGCCAAAAATTGTATTTTTTCATAAAAAAAGTTCGTTCAGGTGAAAAATATTGATAAAGAGACACCGTAAGAAAAAAGTTTTAACGAAAAATTGTTTTGTTTTTCTAATTCTACCAATAGATAAAATTTTAGTTTGTACCATTGAATCCTCTTTCAGCAGCATAATAATGAATTTAGACCACTTATTTTGTAGAAAAAATGAACGATAACGGGCACTACTACACATTGTAGAACAACATATTTCACAAACTTTTGCTCACAATATTGTACAAAAGTTAAAAACATTTGCAAATCAGATACATAAACATGACCACATAACTAAAAAATGAAAACACAACCGCAACAAGTTGAACTAACGACGCTACGGCTACTATCACTCTGTGCACTTAAATTTAACTCGATGAATTGTTTTGTTTGTTGTATCGCAAAACTCCAATAGCAGGAAGTGAACGTTATGTAACAAAATTAATCAATATATATGTGAGATAACGTAAAATAATCAGAAATTCAAAAAATTCAATTCCCTTCTCTATATCTGCAAAGTCATTTCTTTTTCACAGAAAGGCAAACAACGTTATTTTTTACTTCATTCAGTACTTGGAAAGATTAACAAATCAATTCGAATTTATTTAAAGTTAAAAGCGTGGCCGATAGTAAGGACGCACGTAGCTGGTTGCAATGTGGGATCAGAATTGGTGTCTCTAGTCTAGGCGGTAGTCGCTTTTTGCTGAATGTTAGAGCGAGTTCGCACCCTGCTCAGTAGGGTCCAGCACTGCACGGTAATGTTTAAATACATAATCGAAGACATGATTTACATAAATACGTAATAATTATCATAAAATGTGCATCGACTAATTAAATATGTAAATATAACGTCTAACGCGCATATACAAATAGGTAGGTACAGGGTTTTTGACGTGACAACGTCTTATAATTCGATGGAGCCGGCTGCACGCACGAAAAAACATGACTCATGCGGCGTTACCTCGCTCTGAGGCGTTCCATTTAAGGCTTGAAGTGCAAGCGAGAGCGTGGAACGAGCGACAAAGAAGCACAATCGGCCTCCGCGTTCGGCAGCGTTCGACATCTGTCTCTCTCCTACTTGAGTGAGCGATGCGTCCGCGTGGACAGCTGCTATACAATAATACATTTCCATTTACCTCCTCCTCTATTTCCATACAAAATATCAAACAAATAAAATTAAAATTTTCTTTTGAAAAATTAAAAAATTCCATCAGTATTTTCTTATGACGTTGTCACGTTCAACTATCGTCAGTAAACCGACTTTACAGACAACCGATTTTTTTCTTGAATACGTCACATTCGCAATGAGTGAAGCAAAGCCTTTTAAACTTTTGGATGTTTCATTACCGCCAGTTACTAATGCTGGTGGGCGGCTTCGGAAGGTGTGGGCGGTGGTTGGGGTGAGAAAGATAACAAGGACGAAATGAATACAGTAGAGTGAAAGATTATCTTATGTTACTGCCCCAGCATTTGCTGAAGTGATCTACACAAACCACAGAAAAACTCACACCAGAACAGACGCACGCGGAATCGATCCAGTGTCCTTCCGAAAGCAAAGCATCGGTCTAAACCTCTAGGCTGTGCCGCTCGGTAATGACTTCAGCGAATTTTATGAGTTAAATACCAAATACCTTTTTATATACATAATAAAACGAATTATAAAGCCAAAGTAGTTACCAATAAAATATCTATACTTATTACAACCGAAAATTATGTATGAGGACGCTAATTATCCTCAGAAATAAAAAAAGAAAAAGCTTACCTCGCTGTGATTGTCAGAAATTGAACTAAGGGACGGACTAGCCAGCATAAGATCGACCGGACTGTGATTCGCCGAATCTCGCTCGCAACTTGTCCGGTGATATTCTTCTTGATGATGGTTATTTTTCGGTGACCTGGGTTTCGTCTCCAGGTGTAATGAACTTAACTTTTTCTCTACTGTCGTTTCATTCAATTCTGTATCAATATTGGCTGCAGTTTCTTCCGCTCTGCTCTCCGTCATTTTTTCGGGGTTTTTTGTCAAATTTTTAGACTGTGGAGTCTTTGAACGTCGCTTCGATTTAGTCATTTCTACCTCTTTTGGGATTTCACTAGTACTATCTACCTGATCACACCCGCCTTCCTGAGACGATGGTGTGTTTATAGGTGAACAACTTACTCTAGACAATTCGGGAAATGGTGGACTACTACAAGGAGGTGTAGTACTTTCAGTACCAGTTTGTTGGCAGTTTTCTTTATTTTCTGAGGTATCAATGGCGGTTTTAACTGAGGAATTTTCCGATTCGGACGAAGTCCTTTCTTCCTCTACAGTTTCGATGCTAACAATCGAAGCAGTAGACTTCAAAGGCGATACGTTCAAACTGTTGTTACTTCTTTTACTATACGGATCTGACTTCATAGATTTGATCTTTTCGATTTCCAAGTCCAAATCCTCGTCAGAAATGATTATTGGACTGGGCTTTTTAGCCCTCAGTTCCCGTGGGAACACGATGTCAATCGGATCGGTATCAACGCCAGAAAGCGATCTCGAGAATGTCTTAGAAGGTGTCGTAAGATTCGCCTCGGCCGACGCTTCAGCCTCTTTTAGTTCTTCTTCTAGTGTTTTCGTCTCCTGTTTCTGAACCTTTTTCCCTGGGTCACTTCGTAGTACAGTTCTTTTTTTTTTGAACCACAAATAGGTGAGGAGAATTGTCAGTGGTAGACCTGCCCAAACTAGCACCTGACGCGTCCGTAAAGGTGCCATTCCTTGAAAGATCCACGATTGAACGATTCAAACAACAAAACGAGATCCTGAAACAACAAAAGAAACTGTTACTATTGTTACATTACGTAAATCGAAAACGAAAGTTTTCGTTTGCTAAAAATGACAAATAAGCACATGAATCAATGCGTAACGAATCATTTTACAGCTGATAATTTGCATAACTTAACCGACAGAAGGCAATGACTTTTAAATTTATTTAGTGAAAATCTAAACTAAAACATCAGTTTACTCTAAATGCGGAAAGTAGGCAGCATGACTGGTAAGGCACATAATTCACTCTACTGTCAATATTTTTTACTTATTCCGTCAAATTTCTGTAACTCAAACTTGTATAACTCGATATCTTTTCTAACGCAAATATTTTTTGTTCCCTTGACATGCACGGGTAAGTGATTGTTTTACATTTATTTTAAACTATTTAAGTTAAACTCGAGATTCGAGTGTGGATTTGACATTATGATTTACCTCTTTAATTCCCTTTCCTATTAATACTATTCGAAGCACAACGATAGACGAGTAAACAAAAAAGTTAAAACGTTAATGTAAATTTTTTTTATACGAAGGTGACACAGTAAAGAAAACTTTTTATCGCGCTAATACATGGTTAGAAATATACGCTTTTATAGTTTATAAAATGAAGTATTTCTTTGATTACAACATTAACATTAAATTCTGAAAATTATATCTTCGTGAACAATAAGAACATTTTTTTTTTAACTTAAAAGATACGTTTATTAAAAACGGTTATAAAGAGCGTAAAATTACTAATATAAGTACATACGCCAACATTATTTATCAGCCAACAGAACTGCCAGGTGAATTAACTGAAAGAAAAGGAACAGGTTCGTTACATTATAAATCTTGCACGGTGACCACGCCTTGCTCGCGAACACAACCATTGTGATAATATCGGTCAATTTCACAATACAATTTCAAGCATACTCTCACAATTTATTGTCGTTCGTTAAAATGCCGTTTTCTTGTATCAGAAGTACCTACTTCAATACACTTTTTCGCTTTCAATAAATACACTATCTATCTATACATTCAAGTTAATCACTATCTTCAGTAAATATATTTCGCTAAACTATTCAACTAAAGACCAGGAAAAACTTAATTATTCATATATTGCCCGATTTAAGGTACTACATACACTGGAATCGGAAAGACAGCACGGAACGGACTCACGGTATTTTCGCAGAATTTAGCTTATTGTTACTAACGCCAAAAGAACATTATTACAATAAACGATAATGAAATGGATTCATTTATAGATATGTTCGAAGCATCACGTTTATGGTTAACACATTCATTTGTTTCATGATTTACTGCAGGATGACAGGAAACTTTTTAACTACTGAAACGGAGAAACAAAATAATACACCACCCTTTTATTTTAGTGGTTTAATAAAAGTCATAACGGCTACAAACAATACCTTTTGGTATATTTACACTGCATAAGAACAATTTTTTCATCATGCGCCTTAGTTTTTTATATGATCCGTTCCCATTCCATTCACACCTCTTCCAACCAATCTGATTTAATTAATTTCGGTTTCCCGGGTCGTCTGACCAATCATATTATATAAACATTTTCGCAAAGCACTCTCACCGTTTTCATTCCGCTCCTCCGAATTAGACCATGGGAAAGCATGTCTTTAATATAAACATACAGGCGACAATTGGGCGCCAATCGATCAGTACTACAAACAATTAGTCGCAAAATTAATGATAAGATTTGAATTTTATAACACTACTTAGGGAAAACTAATAAATGAAACACATTTTTTTCCTGAAAATACTTAGTTTCTTAGCATTATATGGGAACACTAAAAAGGTTGTGACACTTGCCCTTTACGAATGAATATGATTATTTGTAAAAATAGTTCGAATGAAAGTGAAACCATGATGCCAATTCTATAGTATCAAATGGTTGCGTATTTTGTGTATTTCCGTTCCGTGCCTGATACATGGGCGCAAGCCTTTATAATTCCCGCGCGATGCCATCTAAAACGTACACCTATGCATATGCATGTCGAATGAGAATACGATTCCATCATAGTAGTGTTTGCATCGGAATGTTGTAGATAGAGCAATGGCTGCAAACTTTTTGTCTCGTAGACCATATGTCAATTTTTTCTGTTACAGGTAAACCTCTCACCTTTCAAATATTAAATTGTTATAAATTCACTAACTTCCAATGTGCTTTAGCAACAATGAATTTTCCCATGATTAAAGCATAAATTAAGGTCAAATACGACGTGACGTATTATTGTAAGATAAGACAAAACTGAAAAAGGCCAGATACGATAAGGCATCCACGTCAATGTCGTTTAGCTTAAAATAGGGATTTTCATAACTGAGACTGAATGGGGCAATACAGGTCAGGACCTAATAAGCTATAGTGCAAAGTTTCTAGTCACTATATAGTATAAAACAAAGTCGCTTCCCGCTGTCTGTCCCTATGTATGCTTAGTTGTTTAAAACTACGTAACGGATTTTAACGCGGTTTTTTTTTAATAGATAGTGATTCAAGAGGAAGGTTTATATAGGGTGTCCCAGTTATAATAATTAATATTTATACCACAGATTCCTACGGACATTTGGAACATAAAATGTTATAACACTTTTGACTTTTGAAACAAAATAAAAAATTATAAAATTATAACAGTTTCGATGCCGGCCCTGCACAATCGCAAATTAATTACGATTGCCAGCTGATCGTAGAAAAATTCACCTTCAGTAGGTCGGAATCAGCTGGTTTTTGGGGTGATATTACGGATCAGCCGAAGAAAATGCACTCACGTTAAGGTCGATTAGATGACTTAAACACGTTAGAAAAACTATGTACCTATCACAATCGAAAATCCCATGATCGTAAACTGAAGTGGACCTAATGTAGTCCATGACGTCGAATATTATGTTATTTTAAATAGAAAAGAAATTTTAACAGCTACGGAATAGTTAGAAGCGGTGCACAAACAACCCTCACCACCCAGCGTTTGGTAAAAGTTTGTAACATAACGTACTAGTGTACGAAAACAAATGTATGTGTTATGGTTGTAAAAGTTGAGACAAGATGCAGACCTACTCTGACCATTCACATGTGTTAAACGTTACTTTTGCCTGGCAGGGCTCATTAACCCCACGTGGGGTAATACAAGGGTGTGTCCAGAAGGACCAATTTTGGTTATTTTGTTTTCATTAAATGTAAAAAGCTAAGCATTGATATAACCTCGTATAATTACACTGCTGGAAGTGACTCGAAAATAAGGCACATAATGTTGTAGATTCTAACAGGTTGTTCAGTTCGCTTTGGATTGTTGTGGAATTTACTTGTTTGTTAGTGTTAGTTTATTTATTTAGTGGTCTATTACAATAAGGACAATTAGTAGTGTGATAGTGCATTCTAGTACGGTTCTTATTCAATCTTGGTGGTGAGTTACATTACCAATGCCTATCGGATAATTCGAAATATTCCCGGTATCTGGGCCAAAATTCGCAGCAACTGGGTACGTCGCTGTCAGTGTTGCATTGAAGCGAATGGCGGACAATTTAAACATTTTTTTAAAAAGGTACGCATTTCTTTTTCACTTTTACCTTTTTTTTACAAGGTGGAAGTGCATTCGGCTTCTTCCCGGGAGGTACTTATTACATCCACACTAGATCAGCTGAACGACATTGGTCGCTTAGATCCAGGTCCGTAATGAAACAAATTGTACGTTCAAATTTACAAAGACGATTTGCGAGCTCAATTGTCAGTGGATTGAAAAATTGTATAACACTTTTTTGTTGTATTTTGTGTCAGGAAGCCATGGTTTTTTTTTTAATTATTATAACTGGGACACCCTGTATGTATAATACATGCATAATATAGTAGAGAAACACGGATAATTTTAGAGGTTTCTAATGTGATGTCGTAAATAAACACATTTTTTGCACTTACATTGCAAACGCTGGCTAAACCCTACGAGATAGATCAAAATAATATACTACAGTATTGTACATCTTAAAAAGGTCTACAAAAAAGTCCGGGATGGTATATGTCTATCTCTTAGAGATAACCCACAATAACCATTTTTTATCCTTTACTTTTTACTAGAAATAATGCCTTATTTACGAAACGATTCTAAGCAATACAGCATTAATCCTTGTCCAATTAAATACTTTCAAATACATTGTGCATTCAATATAGATCAATATGGCTCTTTACAGCATGTAATTTAAATGAATATTTTCGAAGATATTACAGATTTAAAATGCAGGGACATGCGGTTGCGGCGGTACCGGCCGGGGGGCCACTTTGTATTATCTAATGACAAAAAAGCTGTAAATGTTGTATATAAAGACATTCAATAGTATATTAAGTATCAGCATTGAACCCTTGCGAAGCTGGGGTGGGTCGCTAGTAACTAATAAAAATGAATTTCTTTTGTCACGCGAATAAAATTATGAAAATTTAACTCAAATGCATGTACATGCGTCATGTTAGAGGTTTACTAGTTTAAAATATCAGGCATTTAATGTAAATTGACATGTGTGGATGCAGACCCCAATTTGCTAAATTGGCCCTCTAGACTGTGTAGGGGCCTTAAAGCTGGTAGGAGGAAAGAGTTGTGAGGCTACTGATATCTATACATAATTGATGAACAGATGGAATATATCATCCTCCTCAATAATAATAAAAACCTCACCTACACGACGTTTAAGTATATATACGGAATATCCCGCTTGTATGAAACCGTAGCAGCAACCTAATATTGTTGCGTGGAAACATTCGACGATATTGTAAGTGAAAAATATATATATACAAAATAAACCAGTCACATGTAACCACAAGTTTATTAAGCGTAAAAGATACGCCGGTTTCTGCGATATGTAATACACTTGTCAAGTTGTAGATAAATTGAAAAATAAATGTCGAGCCTGTATTACAACAAACACGACACACCATTGTTCACTGAAAACTAAAATAACATAATATGGAACCTTCCTATGCTGTTGTTAATTTAAGAAAATACAAAAA